GTCTTTACAACAGCGGTCATGTCGAAGCCCTGGAGAACATCAACCTCGTCTCGGAAGGCATTGTTTCCGAATACCTCAGATCCGTCCTCGAACTCAACCTCCCCAAGGTCGGCAAAAAGGCCAAGGTTGTTTTGGGCGTCTCGGAGAAGAACCTGGCCGGCGCCATCAAGAGCGAGTTCCCTGGACTGGAGTGCGAGACCGCCGATACCTCGGATGTCGTTGGCGATGTCATCCGCGGCCTTCGCCTGCACGCCGACAAACTGCTGAAAGATCTGAAGCCGGGCGATATCGAGAAGGCTGGCCTGGGTATGGGACACGCCTACTCCCGCGCCAAGGTCAAGTTCAGCGTCACCAAGAACGACAACCACATCATCCAGGCTAGCGCCACCATCGACTTTCAGGACAAGGGCGTGAACCAGTTTTTCATGCGTGTCAGGGAGTGGTACGGCTGGCACTTTCCGGAGTTGATCAAGATTGTCTCTGACAATTTGACCTATGCCAAGCTTGTTCTCGCCATTGGAGACAAGAAAACTCTCAACGACGACAAGCTGCACGATCTCGCTGCCATTCTCGGTGAAGACGGTGAAAAGGCTCAAGCCATCATTGATGCCGCCAAGGTGTCCATGGGTCTGGACATTGCCGCTGCCGATTTGGAGATTATTGCTGGCTTCGCAGAGGCTGTTGTCAAGCAGGCTGAGAATCGCAAGACCACCTCCGCATACTTGGAGAAGAAAATGGGACACGTCGCTCCCAACCTGCAGGCTCTGATCGGCACTCCTGTTGCTGCTCGCCTAATCTCTCACGCTGGTTCCCTTACCAACCTGTCCAAATACCCCGCCTCTACCCTTCAGATTCTTGGTGCCGAGAAGGCCCTCTTCCGTGCCCTCAAGAGCAAGAGCAACACTCCCAAGTATGGTTTGATCTATCACAGCAGCTTCATCGGCAAGGCTGGCGTACGCAACAAGGGTAGAATTTCACGGTACCTGGCCAACAAGTGCAGCATGGCTAGCAGGATCGACAACTTTTCCGAAGAGCCCTCAACACGATTTGGTGAGGCTCTCAGACAACAAGTCGAGGATCGCCTGGAGTTCTACTCCAGCGGCAAGAAGCCCGCCAAGAACGCCGATGTCATGGTATGTTGATAAATTCGAAATTCTGCATTCTTTTTCATGCGGATGTCATTGCTAATCCGATTTCTTAGAAATCTGTCATGTCTGTTCTCGGCGACGGCGCTGGCAAGGACAGCGACGATGAGATGGCCGATGCTCCTCCTTCTTCCAAGAAGGAAAAGAAGGACAAGAAAGAAAAGAAAGAAAAGAAGGACAAGAAGGACAAGAAGGAGAAAAAGGAGAAGAAGCGCAAGCGTGACGAGGAAGAAGCTCCTCCAGCAGATGATGGTGCAGAGAAGAAGAAGAAGAAGAAGAGAAAGTCCAAGGCTGCTGACGAAGAGTAGAAATCTCTCATTGACTTTTTAACTTCTCCAAAACACTCAAGATATCCTTCAATCAGGCATGGAAGGGCTAATCAAATAACCAAGACAGGAGAGCAGTCGTTGGAGGCTGGTCACGAGGGAGTGCAAAATACCCGAGGATCAGACTGATGAGGAATCGAAGGCGCGGTCTGTTGATGATGGACGAAGTCTTTGGCTTTTCTTACAGGCGGCCTGTTGCGATTTTGCTTGTGAGGGAGTTTTGCAGGATTCAGGCTTGCGGCGTTTGAGGGCATGTGGCTTTATATTTCGATAGTTTCTGCATTTGTTGTTCGTCGTGGTGTATAAAGCTGATAACCTGTACTGTTGATGCAAGGGTTAAATTTTATTCAAGATTTCATGAGTCGCTGCTTTTGCTTGGGGATGGAGTCACTTTTCAAACAAGGGTCCAGTATTCAGTTGTGTATGAACGCGGTCTTATTATAGAGCTGCCTGATCATCGACTATGTAGAGAAGCTACAGGAGATAGGCCTGAGCCAGACGATCCTGATATTATCAACTAGCGCGCCGGTTTAGCGAGAGAGAGAGAGAGAATAGTCATTCTGTAGAGGAACTGATGCAGAAGTCGGGGTCCAACCCCAGAGCCCATCTGACATAGTGGCGAAGTTGAAAAGTCTACGCGGTTTGACAGGCAGCCCTCTGCAGCACATGAAATCACGATAGCACCTCAAGATGTGAACAGAAATAAACCATTTAACCATAGTCTGAGTCAAGCATTCATAATCAAAGCCCGGATGTGCTCTATGCTACATCAACGCCCAATTTTGTTTCGCATTACACGTTTTCCCCTCCCGTGAACAGCCCATTTCATTGCAGAAATCATGCTCGTGCGCTTACTGCTTGTCAAAGACGTAGGTCAGGTGGCATCGACCACAGTACTGACGGTCAGGCATAGAGGCCATGAAGACACCAGCGCCGCACTAGAGTGAGTTGTTAGCGCCGACCCGATGTTGAAGCATCCAAGGGGAACTTACGGTGTCGCTGGGGCACTCTCGTCGGAGACGCTCAATGTTGCCGTCCTTGTCGACCTTATAGTACTTGAGGACGGCCAGCTTGGTCTTCTTGCGCTTGTGCTTGATCTTCTTGGGAGTAGTGTAGACCTTCTTCTTGCGCTTCTTGCCACCACCACGCAGGCGCAGCACCAAGTGCAGGGTGCTCTCCTTCTGGATGTTGTAGTCGCTCAGGGTGCGGCCATCCTCGAGCTGCTTGCCAGCGAAGATGAGTCGCTGTTGGTCGGGGGGGATGCCCTCCTTGTCCTGGATCTTGGACTTGACGTTGTCGATGGTGTCGGAAGACTCCACCTCGAGGGTGATAGTCTTCCCCGTGAGGGTCTTGACGAAAATCTGCATCTTGCCTAACTGGATGGGTTAGAGTTGGACAATTTCTCCGAGGCTGAGTGAAGCGTGTTCGCGGTGTGGTGCATTTCTCGTCGTGGCCACCGGTCAATACCAGATAAGAAGAAAATGTGTGATATTGAAACCAGCAGCCATCACCGAAGAAAGCGGCGGGGATCAGGAAATGCAAAATAGGAATTCGACTATCAAGACGGACGCATCATTAATGCATCCATCGTCAAAGCCGATGGGAAATGCAGCATCTTTCAGACGTACCTCGACAATAGACCTATTGCCGTCCTAAGCAATCCTCAGATGTTGCGATTGTGAGAAAGACGCTCTGCAAGTGGAGTGGCCGCACGCTGAGAAATTTCCTACTGGGGGGTGGAAGGTGGGAGGCAAATTGGTGTCACATGATCTAGGGTTTTCGCCAACCACTTGCCCTTCTTCGTTGTCCGCCCGCCAAAACGAATTTACCCAGTTGTGTGGAGCCCTGGGGCTTTTGTGACTGGCAAGCGAGACGAGCCGCGACTTTTGCACATCCTCTTTAATCTTTTTGACTGTTCAACCGATTCCAGTACGTCCAACCCGCACTTCTCTCGACAACTCGTTGCTTGGTATTAACAGACTCGCAACAGACACCGTCAAAATGGTCAAGAAGAGAAAGAACAAGTACGATTCCTCCCTCATCCTCTCCGCCTCAACCTTGGTCACCACCTCGCTGTCGACGGAACAAACTCTCAATAAGAGATGATGTTGCTCTGCGCGCGAAAAGACACGAGATACGCGATGGGCAATTCTCTCCAGACCAATTACTAACGGTATTCCAGCGGCCGCAACAAGAAGGGCCGCGGCCACGTCAAGCCTATCCGATGCAGCAACTGCTCTCGCTGCACCCCCAAGGATAAGGCAATCAAGAGATTCACCATTCGCAACATGGTTGAGTCTGCCGCTATCCGTACGTTTAATCTCCGCCATTAGTCCACGTGCCATGGATGCCTCCGGTCAATTGACGCAGAGACAATTTTGGTGCAGTTTTTTCACTGCTAAATGGGCAATTGTGCTAACAACCTTTGGCAGGTGATATCTCGGATGCCTCCGTCTTCGCCGAGTACACGGTACCAAAGATGTACCTCAAGCTGCAGTACTGCGTCTCTTGCGCTATCCATGGCAAGATTGTCCGGTACGTTGTCTTTCCCGGGAGTGTGACAACTGCGCTTCGGCGTATGTGCTTGAGATGAGCCTTGGCCGTACACCAGCAATTGGATACACTCCCCCTCATATTTGTCATGATGCAAAAATGACCTGGTACGTTTCTCACGATGTGATGACTGACATGATTTTGTGCTTTGCAGAGTCCGATCTCGCGTGGGCCGCCGCAACCGTGCTCCTCCCCCGCGTGTCCGCTACAACAAGGACGGCAAGAAGATCACCCCTACTGTCCCTAAGGCTTAAGTGGGTTTCATGATTGGGATGGAGTCTGGTTATGTTTTACGTCTGCATTCAGTAAAAAGGATTAGATGAACAACTGGGATTGAGAATCTAGGGAGATTCCAAATTCAAATCGGACTACGTTTCTTGTCGTTGATGTGAACTGTTGTCGTCTCTTTCAAGCTTGAACTGTGACTGGTGTGCTTGTCGATGCAATGAAGAGAGAGCCAAATGTTTTGTTGTGAATTCCACGCCATTGACGCGCCGTTGTCTTTGAGTTGGCTTTACTTGATGTCGCAAGTTCAGCTACTCGCTGATTCGGTTTGTTACTGGATCGAAACACATGTGATGGCTCATTCGCTGGTTGGGCCGATGTTGTTTGGGCTGTCCAGTTTACCCTCAAAGCCGACCCCAAATGAAACGAGTCTCGCTTAGAAAATGCACAAGATCTTTGACTCAACCATTCTGTGACATTGGACAGGAACCATTTCCCAAAAGTTGTCGTGGGCGGAGTCTACACAGAGTATCACCACCAAAGGGCTCGACCCGAGGCAGGACGCCAGATACTAGGCCTCTATATTCCCTTTTTCCCCCCCGCCAACGCTCCATTTGCACTCAAACATGATGGTTTCGACAACGGAATACAGGCTCCGTTTTGAAACTGCGCACACGCATCTCATTAATGGCGAACAAGTGGTCGTCCACCGTGCGTACATAGCTAGGAATACCCTAGACTCGACACCACCTTAAATCAAATTTACCCCTTTCTGCGAACAAGCATAGGGATCAAAGCAAACACCACCTCCGCAGCAACTTCCAGTAAGACACTTGTACATCTTATACCCCGCATTTGCGCAATCATCATCGGACGAGCACTGGCTCACAAAGTTGGCACACTCCATGTACTGAAACGCGATGGGGTCACCGCCCGAAGTCTGTCCACAAACACAGTCTGAATCCCCAACGCTGGCGCTTGCTGGATACGAGCAGGTTCCCTGGGGCCTACTAAGTGAAGACTTGCTACCATTTTTACAACAAGCTATTTGGGTCGGGTCTTGAACGGTGATGTTGAATGGCTTGGGTTTTCCCGGCGCTGCCTTCAGCGACGTAATCGAGTCGATAGTGGTTACACCAGCTCGGAGGCTCATGTTGAGTGGGAGATCGCCATCGTGCAAGTCGTTGCAGATGTCGCCCTCGAAACTTCGGTACTCATTGTACATGCTGATGTATTGCTCCAGCGCGCTGCTACCTTGGCCAAGTGTTCCCGCCATACTTTTGGCCAAGGCCTGTTTGAGAACATTCCATAATTGGCCGTACTTTTTGACGGTGGCGTCAACTTGACCCTTTTGTGTCTCACTGAGAGGTAGCTTATATAGCTCCTCTTTGAGGGAATGCTCATTGAGAAAATCTTGAGCCGTGGCTGCGAGAGTGGTCACCACCGTCGACAGGTCAGGACAGGCTTCGCCGAAAGGATCCGTGAACAAGAACCGAACGATCTCTTTGTTTACAGAGGTTCGACACCTACTAGTTCCAGAATCTGAACCAGGGAATGTACACAGAAAAGTCCATTTGCCTGTGGATGAGTCCACTTCTGTGTCTATGCAGTCGGAATCACCAACGCTGAGGGTAGGATACGTCCGGAGGGCTCGTTTGATGCCGTTTCCGCATTGATCCTTGAGAAACAGGACTTGCTCGAAACTAGACTCTTCCATGGAGCGCTTGCTAGAGATGGACTTGGCGCATACTTCGTCCGAAAGACTTTCCAACTGCTCGTACATGTCTTTGACGGTGATGGAAACGTCGTATGCACAGGTATTGGTGGAGAAATGAATCCCAGTCGCGTCGATGAGCATCGAACTCTTTTGAGAGTCCATGATGGACAAGCGACTTCTGTTGGATACATCCATGTAGTAGGTTCCGTTGTACGCGTCCCACAACGTGAGAAAGACTGGATCGATTCCAGCCGGGTCGAAGAATACCGACTCAATGTATGGGGAAGGCAGCGTATTATTTTGCTCCGCGACTTCGTCATTATGCAGGGTTGCGCTGCGATGTTTATTTTCGGCATCTGGATCTTGAGGAAACTGGTAGCAAGTCTCCTCTGCGATTGCCGCTGTACGGGTCACTTGCGTAAAATTGGCGACTGAAAGAGAGGGCAAGGGAGCAGTAGAAGTTGAGATTGAGAAATACGTAGAGATGCTCAGTTTGGAAGGCGTTTCAGAGTGTGTCGTAGTCGTGTTGTTTGTTGAAACAGGCAATGACGTTGTCTTGGAGCTAATGCTACCGCGCGTGGAATCATGTGTTGATAAAGACACTGGAACCGTGCTGTTGATAGTAGAACTTATATTTGGAGAAATGGACAACGAACTCGACCCCGGAAGGGTCAAATGCACCGTTGAAATGCTTGCACTAGGAATTGGAGTAAGAGTAATGGTTGGAAGCGTCCACAAATCAGTTACACTATTCGAAGTTGACGAGATTGAAGCCTTGCTCGAGGTACCGTTCGCGGAGCTGGACTGCGATGAAGACCAAGGTTTAAAGCTGCTTTGAGTACCTGTCGAGTTTGTGACGCCGCCAGTTGATGAGTTAAGAGAGTGCGTTGAGCTAGTACCACTTGACAGGGATCTAGAGGTTATTCCAGAGAGAACGCTTGATACCGTAGCCGTTGCTGAGAACGAGCCGGTTGTATTTGAGTAGAAACCACTCGAAGAACTATTGGTATACATGTACGGAGTTGAGACTGACGAGGAGGTGTAGAGCGCCGTTGAATTTATGTCTACTGTAGTCCGGTTTGAACTTGATGTTACAGTATACGAAGAAGCACACTTGGTTGAGCTCTTCCCACCTGGAGCAGTCGACGTAGCATGGTCAGAGCAAGTCCTATTACGACTGAGAGATGAGCTTGATGTAGAAGACACAGTCGAACTATCCCCTCGGCTTGTCGGCGAGGCGCTGTCCGTCGGTCGAGGATGACATTTATCCGTCAACACGCAGCTGCACTATGCTGAACTTAGAAACGCTGCACACCGGGGACTCTGGATGAAAATACATACGCGGGAAGAAACCACAGCCGGATCATATGTCACATAAGCCGTTGGTGTCACAACCTCACAGGGCGGCTTGCCAAGGACAGACGAACAAAACTGTCGGCCATTCTGGTACAGAGAGCTGTAAAGAGCGTCTTTCGTACAAACTAGCACGATGTCACTGTTCGCAAAGACCGAAACAGCGCGAAGAAAAGCGAGAGTGAAGAAGAGAAGCATGGCGGAATGACGCATCGTAAAGAGTGACTGGAAAGCCCGATTCGACACGACCAAGTTGAAGACTCAAGAACAGTATCGCGCCCGGCCGATGCTGGTTATTCCATTATATATTTCGCATCGGGGACAAGAGACTTGTTTAGAAGTGAGTCGCCTCGCCTCCTTCATTTCGTGGTTTAGTTTCAGAGCACGCCATCTTCGACGCTCGCTAACGAAGGATGTATCCGACTTATATAACAACTCGCTTGTCAGAGTATGCTTAGCGATCGAGTCTCGGGAGAAATCCCGGTGCTCTGCCATTCGATGGTGTACGCTGCCGTTGTCCAGCTGAATCATGTACCACGTTAGGTTGAAGCAAAGCGATAAATCAGCCACTCAAACCGGTCTGATGTTTTGCAACACCCACATGGCTATGAACGCCACGGGTGTTACTCGACTTTGGGTGTGACTCTCAGATCCCAACTTGGCATTTCCAACTCGAGCCACTCGACTTCCAAGGCAAAGAGCCGGAACAGTATTGTGACTCTGACGTACGACATGCAAGGACCTATTGAGAGCTGAAATCGAGCTACATGGTCTTGCGTCTCCCTGAATGTGGACAGAGGTAAGTTGAAAATAGGCAATTACACCCGCTCTCGCTCTCTATAGTTTCAACATGATGATTATTTCGTTTCCGCCATCCAAAAAAAAAAAAAATACATAAAACACCATAGTAACCTTTGTGATCATGACCCGTCATCAAATATCTACCCAGTCCAGTTCCCAAATTTCATCATGTACAAAGAACATGCAAAATCTCCTTCTCATCTCCCATTACGTTGTCCTCATCTAAGGGCCAGGGTTGTGGTGAAACCAGTGCCTGCCTGCGGCCGTTGCTGTGGCTGTGGTCGGTCGATGTAATCCTTATTCTCAATAGTAACACTCTTGGTCATGTGATTGACCTTGTAAACTCCGACCAAACGAGCCGCAAGTTCGAACATGTTATTCCTCAATGAGATGACAATGAACTGAGCATTCTTGGTTCGCTCCTTGATATAATTGGCAACGATGGAGACCTGGTCAAACATTATTAGAACACGGAGCATTGCATCCTTCTGGTTGGAGAAGTCGACTTACGTTTCTGAAATCCAAGGCGGCGTCAATTTCATCCATGACATATAATGGTGTAGGTTTGTAGTGATGCAGGGCAAAGACTAGAGCCAAGCTGCTCAACGTCTTTTCACCTCCAGATAAGTTGCCGATATTCTTCCAGCTCTTCTTGGGTGGCATCACGCTGAACAGGATACCTTCACTGAAGGGATCCAGACTGTCCACAAGCTCTAGTTCTGCGTTACCACCCATCGTGATCATTTGGTACATCTCTTTTAAGCGAAGCGAGATGGCGCTGAAACCCTCCATGAAGCCCTCCAATCGTCGTCTTCGGAGATCGTCACAACGCTTCTTGGCCGCGTCTCGCTGACTGATTGCCGCTTGAAGATCTGAGGACCTAGCCGCATGTTCCTCCACTCTGCGGCGGTACTCGGCCAAAACGCCAAGGTCGACACTGGCGTTCTGTGTCTTCTCCTCCAGTGCAGCTATCTCACCCTTCAGGGTCTCCTTATTCAAGTCAGCCAGTTCGTCCGGTGTGTATCTAGGCAGCTCGTAAGGTGGCTTGTTTGAGCCACCTTCTGTTGACTTTTCTGCCATAGATGCATCGGCCATGCTGGTATCTTCGGCCTCTTCCGCTTCAGATTCAGCCATTTCGGTGTCTTCGTTGGATGTCGAGGAGCCTTCTTGCTTTTCGGGCTGCTCAGCTTTAGCAGCTTGTTCGGTAGGGCTGGACGCACCAACGAGGTCCTCAATGTTCTGCAAGACTAGTTTTGACAGCTTGTCTTCCCAGTATCGATGTCTCTTTTCATTCTCGGCCAAAGTCTTCTGGTTCTCCTCCAATTTGTTCCGCATTTCAATCTCCACGGCGCGACTTTTGTTAAGCTCCGCTGTCTTGGCGTCAAGCTCCTTTTTGAAGGCCCTGAGCTCTTCCCTCCTTGATGCCAAATCTGCCTCCGCCTCCTTAACCTGGGCCTTCAGGTCGTCCGACTTCTCACCCTGGTTGTTGACATCGGCTTCAAGTCTTTCTAGCTCTCTCACAGCGGTTTCCAACTCTTTATTGGCCTTGGCAATGTCCTTTCCAAGCTTAACTTTTTGCTTCTCGGCCTTGACTCGGCGGACTTCTGCATTCGACGTCTCTTCGTTATGGGAGTTGATTTGCTCCTTGAGGTCGTCGACCTTTGCCCGCTGGCTTCGCAGCTTCTCTCCACCAGCTTCCATGATTTTCTCCTGCAGAGCTTTGATCTCTTCCTCCACACTGGCAGTCTCCCCATGGAGCTGCTCAATTCCCCCATTTAGCTTCGCAATCTCCCTCTCCAAAGCGGCGACACGAGATGAGTCGGATGTTGATGGCTGGTGCTCTTGGCTGACTTCCTTGATACGCTTCTTTACATCCGAAAGATTGCGTGTGGCGCTGTCAATCTCGAGGCCAAGCTTCTGCATCTTTGTCTCAAGCTGAGGGATTTTTTCGTTGAGGTCCTTGAGCTTACCTTCGCATTCACGCTGATACTCTTGGAACTCTTGGAACTTGGCTTCCCATTGATCTCGATCCTCCTCAAGCTTGGCAACGTGCTCCTTGCTGATATCTGCCACAATCTTGGAAGACATCAGTCCCTTCTTCACAGTAGTCCCGCCACCGGACATTGTCCCGGACTTGTCGATTAGCTCACCAGCCAAGGTCACCACCCGCCATCTCTTGGCCCCGTATGCGATACGATTAGCTTGGGCTAAGTCGTTGGCGACCAATGTGTCCTGCATTGCGTGATAGAAAGCTGGACGGAACTTGTCTTTAGATTTGACCAAATCAAATAGGCGTGGTGCGTTCTCTGGTGTCTGGATAGGAGACATGTCTCGTGATCTAAGCTTGTCCAAGCAGATAAAGTTGCCACGACCCAAGTTGTTCTTCCTTAGATACTCGATGCACTGCTGACCAGACTCAACCGACTCGGTGACGAAATTGTCAAGCGCGGAGCAGGCCGTTGAAACCGCAACGTCGTACTTTTGGTCAATGGTTCCTAGATTGCCAAGCCGTCCGTGGAAGCCATCGATTCTACCAGATTCTTTCATGCGCATCAAGGCTGTCAAAACGTTGCCACGGGCCTGCGTACTTGCTAGACTTGAACGAGCTTCGTCGGCCTTTTGCCGTGAATTCGAAATCTTGGCTTGGATCTTGGGCTCTTGCTGGGCCAGAATTGCGAGCTCAGAGTTCATTTTTTCAGCTTCTCTCTGGAGTTCAGATTTCTCCTTTTCGCAAGCCTTGAGTTCCTTGGCCTTGGCCGCCTTGTCCGTTTCGATGGCTGTAATCTTGCCCTCAAGCTCTTCGACTGCGACTGCACCAGCATTTGCCTTTTCTTTGAGGATGCTCATTTCACTCTCTGCTACAGCAATAGCAGACTGCTTTTGATTAATCTTCTCCATCCAAGGCTCGAGAGTCCTCTGCTTGGCTGCAATCTTGTCGGAGAAGGCCTGAGTTTTTCCCTTGAGGCTTTCTCGAATATTGGCGAGCTCGGCTTCCTCGGCCTTGACTTGTGCCTCGAGGTCAGCGACTTCTTGTGTTCGGGTCTCAATATCTTGCTTGGTTTCCTCAATGGTTTCGTCTGCTTCGTTGGTTGCGTTTTGAGCATTGTTAATAGTCTTTTCGAGCTTTTTCTGCTTTTCGACAAGGAACTTGCGCTTCTCATCGAACTTGACGCGCTCCTGCTCGAACTTTGCTAGTTCTTTGACAATACTTTGGGTTTGCTTCTCTTGTGTTTCAACTTCCTTGGTCCCTTTCGTGTATTGCTTTTCAAGATCCTTGATGAACTGCTCACTGCCCTGGTGCTTTTCAAGTTCTGCATCGAGTTGGGCTTGCATCTGGTTGATTGCTTCCTCAGTAACAGTGATATTGCCATTGCATTCGTGAATGAAAAGCTGGTATAAAGCGGATTGCTTCATGGTTAGCTCATTTTCGTCGCGTATGTACGCGAGAGCCTTGTCTTTTTTATCCTCGAGACTGTTCTTTTCTTTCTCGACGTGTTGCACACGCCCGCTCTTCTCCATGCAGACATCGTTCAAGGTTTCTACTTCAGCAGCGGACTCTTCAATGGGAGTTTTGTATTTGGAGGTGCCAATAATATCTTCGAGGTATTCAAGCAAGCCGTCCTCGTGCTCGTTAGCGGCCTTTGATTTCATTTGAGCAATTGACTCGACTTCTCCTTGAAGAATCAAGAATCGCTTGTGATCCAAATCAACACCGTGGTCCTTGAGTAATGTCGTGACAGTCGTAAAGTTGGACTCCTTGCCATTGATGTAGTATTTGCTCGTGTTGTTTCGGAAGGCCTTTCGAGAAATGATGAGTTTCGAATTGGGGATAACCTCGTGGCCGGTAGGCTTATCAATGACCTCCTGAAAGTGGACTTCGACTTCGCAATACTCCAAGTTTGGGTGCTGAGCAGAATTGTGAATGAGAGCCGAAATTTTACCCTGGCGCATCTTGCTGGCTCTGAAACCAAACACAAAAAGTAGAGAGTCAATGACATTGGACTTGCCGGAACCGTTGGGCCCAACAACAGATGAAAAGGAGGCGTGAAAAGGACCGACCTCTTGACGGCCAGCGTAACTCTTGAAGTTGTTCAAAATCAAATGAGTCAATACAATTCGAGACTTGGGGGATGTTGATGGTTCCTCAAAAAATGGGATCGTTGTGGTTCGGGACTTGAGTACGATATCCAGAGGTTTATCCATGATGGAATCAAGCGGCTTGATTGGCTTGACGTTGGGTTGTGTCTCCTCGACGTTCTGTGGCGTATTCACACTGACAGCCGTGATGTCCGCTAGCGGTGATCCGTGAGCCTGGGTTCCTTCAAAAAGCTGGGGCTTCCTTGGTACTACTGGTGGCGCCAAGTCTTCTGTGGGAGCAATCGATGCCCTAGGCGCAGCGCTCTTCCTCTTTCTCGGTGATGGCTTTTTGGGAGGTGTTTGAGCGGTTTGTTGAATGGTGGTGTCGGCATCAACAAGATGGCTTAATTCCGGCTCTCCTTCAAGCTCATCTGGCTCCGTGGATGCGATGGATTGCTTCTTGACGCGCGATCTTCGTGGTGCAGCAGACAACCGCCCACCGCGAGTTTGACGCCGAGTTGTCCTCGAAGCTTCAGGAGTGTATTCGGCTTCCTCATCAGCGCGTACCTTTGTTGTATTGCCGATTTCGTCTTCGTCATCGGAGTCGATAACAGCCGCCCGCCTCATCGCGGCGCGTCTGGACGGCCTCGTTGGTCCTGCGGCCGACATTTCGTTGTGTGGGAGCCGCACGAGGAACGGCAGATATCTAGGTGTCGTGTAGAGGCAAAAAAAAAAAAAAGAGAGAGAGAAAATTGCAAGGTAAAAGTGCCCTTTGTAGCAGAATTCGAAAGTCTCCTGGACTTCCTGACTGGGCGCAGCAACGATCGCGTAGACACGGCGCAAAAGATGGTGAAACGAGGTTTAGATATCTACCCAAGTGGCTGTCGTCGCCCCGCGTTGCTAGCTATTGTTTGGAAATGTCCCAAAGGGTCGTTTGTAAACAATGCAAGTGCAGCCGCAACTGCCAGTAACCACACAGTGCATCAGCCACGACGCCACACACCCTTGCGGCGACTAAACTGTCACACGTGACAGCGCGTCAAGATGCCTTGGTTTTGAGTCTCGTTCCAGTACCCAAATGGCCTGGTTCAACTACTCCAATATTCGGACAGAACTCGGGTTGCAAGTAAACAAACCATCACGGGGCCCCTTGGACATACCTGGAGCAGAAGCCATGTTCAACTATACTAGCTTTCACGATGTCTTTCCCACGGAAATTCAGCTCCCGTACGATCGCAGGCTGCAACACGAGATTGAAGCGCATCGCAAGAATGCCGACGATGTCTTATTCATTGACCGAGTGATGCGAGCGCTCGGTATTCCCAAAGGTGAGCCATATCGGGTTGGATATGAAGCTCGAAGAGCTCTGTTCAAGAATGACTTGGCTGACATCATTTCCCATAACAGCCAAAGTGTATCCCCCAAAGACTGAGCATGCCCTCCGACAATTACATCAGCAAATCTGCGGGGCGGGAATGTCGATGCACCACAAATTCTCCCTGCTGTACTACGTCCTCCTCGATTTTGACGATGCGAGCAAAGAGGTTTTTGTATCAGAGAGCTTTGCCAGCCTGTCTGGCATGCCGGCTAACTACCAGCTCTTTATGAAAGGCCTCTGGCACATGGATAGAGAGGAGTATTCTGTAAGACTACGTGAATATCGTCTAGGATGTAAGGATTTTTGTTTTTGGCTCACATGACGGTGCAGAGAGCCATTGAATACGTCGCGCATCCGTCATTAGATCCTGATTTCGCCGACGACATCATCATTGCCTTGATAAAGCAGGCGCCAGACCAGGACTATACTCTCGCTTTGTCGTATTTCTACTCGGTGCAGCCAATTTTGAAGTCCCCAGTTGCTCTTGAGCTTCTCTTCGACGCCATGGCTCACACGAATGTCACGCAGGCGCTTCTATATTCGCGCACGCACCCGCAACACACCAGAGAACAACTATTCCGCCGGTGGATTTCATGTGTGCTAAATAATAGCGGGGGCGACGACTTGCCCAGCCGCACGAACGAACTGGTGTTTATGCCGTTTGATTCGCTGGAAGAAACTTGGTTCGAAGAATACCTCACAGTGGGTGAGGGGAGGACTTTGAAGAGGGCCAAGGACACCCTGTTGATTCGCAAAATTGCCTGTGATCGATTCTCTGACGTGGCCAAGGTTCGACCTAGCGGGCAATGGGCCGGTATTTTGGAAGGAATCAAGGGAGGGACTGCTGGCCAAACAGACTAGGTGACTGGCATCATGTGCATGATTAGGTCTGTGTATGCATAGCGACGGCGTTGGAACTGCAGGAAATTGCTACATTTGTGCATTCACGAGACGCTGCGATAATGCCTTATCTCGAAGTATATGTTAGGCTGTGAACAAACGCCAAGAGGGAAGCGCACAACCTTCGAACGACTAGCATGACTAGCATTGTCTAGGTTGGCCGTACGACAGTGAGCGAGTCGGACGCAAGCAGACAATTTTCCAAATCACCTCAGCGGTACAAAATAATCAATGGCCTCGCCCGCAGCACGCACAATAGCAGCCTTCAAGGGGTGGTCGGCGGTGTCTCCAATATCTGGTTCTGTGCAGTGCCAAGATGGAGCCGCTGACCCTTCTCAATGCGACGCCTCTCGGCACATCGAAGGAGGGTGCTCGATTTTGTTCTAGAAGTGCCTTCTTTCTCGGAAATCACCGTGTCTGGCTTGATAGCCACAGACTAAAGAACTTTTGATAATGGAAAACTCACAGTACGGGGCCCGGTTGCCGGCACAGCCTCTTTGCCCATCGGCCTACCATCCATGTGCCCCGTCTTCCGTCAAATGACAATTTCGGTTCGTCGCGTGTCTCGGGAAAAAAAAAAGAAAAGTATCACTGCTATCTTTCCTGTTCAGGGACCTAATTCTATCAGAGAGATTCCACCATGGCTCGTCTCATGACCTGCCAATCCAGGAACAGGCCCTGTCGATCTTCCATGCAGACAGAACAGCTAATTGAAGGATTAGCCTTACAGTTCGATACAAGCCTCCGGATTTGCTTAAGAGTAATTGAAAACCGCTGATCGGCTCCCACTTAAATCTATATCGTGTGACCTGCCCAACCTTTTTCTTTTTGCCACTCATCCCAGGCTAGATCCCCCAATATCCGCACGACTCGACACTCCGGAGATGACCACAAAGGACACCCCAACTGCTCCGTATCTCTCCTTCCGTCCGTTCCGGGGCAACGGCTGATGGAAGTCGCTGGGGGAAAACAAAGTTCCATCAATGTCACCTTGCAAAAAGCTGGGCAACGGCGGAGTCGATACGGGAGAAGAAGATATTCTCGACACACGGTGGAACAACAGTGGAGATGATGGAGTCCCAGCCGAGACATCCAAAGAACAAAAAGGCCAATACAAGGCAGGGGTGGCAGTTTTAACTTGGGACGAGTCCACCTTGGGCGAACGTTACAACGGCCATCTGTGAGCATCGCGGTTTGCGCCGGGACACCAAAACCGCCCCTTGTATGTGCGTATATGTGCTACTTGGGGTGTGTCTGTGGCATCTTGGAGGTTTTTTATGTCATCTCCGTTGGATAGGATAAAATCTTTCCTTTTTTCGATTCTTATTGGAAATGCCTGTATTGTCTAATTTCCCAGGTAAAATAGGCATTGAGCCCAACGTCGAATATAAAGGCGGCCTTACAATCCCTTCAAGAGCAACTTGGCGGCATCAAAAGCCGGCTGCTTCACGGTGGCACTCTGCCCAAATTTCCCAAGCTGCTTCTTGACAGCATCGGATAAAGCGTCTCTATATAGCTCGTTCTGCATCAGGCCGCCTGCCAAGACGAGTCCACATCCCGACGCGTCAATGCCCTGGCCCCTTGCCAACAGTGTCGCCAGCTCAGCTAAACTCGCAGTCCCGCCGGCTACGATGCTCTTTGCCTCGTCATTGCCCGTTGCGGCCATTGATAAAACAATCTTGGCAACCCCGGCAATGCGCTTCGTCGTGCCCAAAGAGGCATTTCCTGCCGGGCCAAGCCGGGAGAAGGGCATGACGATGGCGCTGAGGAGATGGTCGGGGCTACTGGTGGGATATTGATCCCTGAAGTGCCCGTAGATGGCCTGTGGTAGCGGAGACAGAGACGGAGCCGGGGAAGCAGTTCCCCCATCATGGGTCATCCGACAAACATCTGTTGCTCGCAGGGGCCCTGCGAAGAGCCTCTCGTCCGATGCTGTAGCCTGAGCCGTCGTCGCCCAGCAAATGGCCCCACCCGCCGACACGCGCGGTGCGTTGGAAGCCCAGCTCGGTTCGTCTGAAGCTGATGCCGATGGAGCCGGTGCCAGAAACAAGGACCATGATGGAGTCGATGTCCTGTTCCGCAGACATGGAGGCGGACAACAGGTCGGTGTCGGCGGTGATTCTTGGCCGCGTCCCAGGCGGCGTTTTGACAAGCTCGTAGACTGCGTTATTGACTGCCTGCGCGAGAGCTGGCCGCTCATATCCAGCGATGCCAAACCACACTGATTGGAAGGTGATGTTGCCAAACTTGCGACCCTTGGTCACGGGGCAGTCGTCTGCCGCGTCTTGGATAGCCTGTGACATGGAGGCGATGGCAGCGTCCAGCCCAATGCTCGATCTACAGCGAGACAACCCGGAGAAGACTTAGCCAGGCGGGCAGTTATACCGCAACGTCGATTGCCAAAGCATGCGCATGCTCACTTACACGTTGCACGGCCCTGCTGCACCGCACCCAGAAACACCATCCCCGGACATGATGACGGCCTTGCAGCTCGTGCCGCCGGCGTCTACACAGAGAACAAGCGCGTCACCCTGTGCTCTGTCCCTGGCCACTTGCTGGCTCTCATGCTCTTCAAATACCCTTGCGAGAACGCCCTGGTGCCGCCGGAGACGTGCTTCCGCGTCGGCAATCGGCACACTCAACACAACGGTGGCAGCAGCGAGTTTGACGCTACCGCGGCACTCATGCAGGATCCGGCCAAGCTCCTCATAAGACTGCGTGCAGGTCGGGCCTCCAATGAACCTCAAGATGTTCCTTGCGCGCTGCTGTAGCTTGACGTTGGTTGCTCGCAGATCCACCATCTGGTCTCATAGGTCAGTTTCTTGTCATACCTTCCAAAATAGGCAATTTTGCAAGTGTGCCGGGAACGACAACAAGTGCAGACCCACGAGATTGCCATGCGTCTTGCCCAGCTTGACCATGATGCCGGTACTCAGCATGTTGAGAATCAGCTTGGTTGCCGTCCCGGCCTTCATCCGCGTGCCGCCCGTCACGGCCTCGGGTCCCGTCACGGCCGCAATGAGATGATGGGCATTGCCCTCGCTTGCCACCGCCGACGGCTCGACGCAAACAACGCCCGCGGTGACGCCGCCGGCCCTCCGGACGTTTCCAGTCCGCCCAGGACATAGGGCGTCCGTCCAGAAGAGGCGATTCCAATCAGCGAGTCGGCCTGCGGGTCTCTCGTCTCGGTTTGAAGGCCGGCTAATTGGTCCGTCATCTTTTTTAAAGTCACAAGCCGTAACGTAATTGGGCTCCAGAAAAATAAAGTAACCTAAAATAAAATAATCGCACAAGTGACTCGAGATATGATGGACAATTTACAGCCAAACCCAGACGAACCCCGACGGTCTGGGGCCCTACTCATCCACGCTACGAGTATGTGATGCTTCGCATTCAGTGCGCACTGCTCTCAGTCCGAAGATGCCACAAGAGACAAACAGTGACGGCGGCAAGGCGGGTGTGGCGGACGTGGCGGACGTGGCGGCCGTCAAAACTGCCATTTACGGACACGATTGCTCCGTTCCGCGAGAGCAGCCTTTCAACCTTCACAACCTTGTATTATTACATCACGGCCGCCGGCAAAGGCACTTCACCGAAATAGAATGACAATTCCCGGCCCCCTCCCCCCCTTCAAAACGCACCCCGCAACCTCGCCCTCTGGACTCCATTTCCCCCGTGGGAGAGAAGAGGGTGGGAGAGGGCGGCAAAGAGGAATCCTCACCACACGAGCGCCCATCCACGGCAAAAGGTCTTTTTTGGCCAAAAAGGACCCGGTCACGAGTCAAGACCAAACATACATGAACAAGCCTGCCCCCAGTCTCCTCTTGGCAACCAAGCCAGTCGACCTGGCTGTGGAGTTGAGCGCCACCATGTAACGTGTGAGGATTTGCAGACAGGTGCGCCCATTCCAACGGCCTGTCGGCAACGACTTTGAAATGCCAAGCCCAACTTCCCAAGTTTGCCAAGCTTCTTGCCAAGCTTGGGGGCCATGCCAGGGCTTCTGATATGCAAGATCCCCTGTTTAGATTGTCGGCGCCTTGATATATGATCCATTGTAACCCCAAGATTTTGGGGGGCCGCTCCCGTGCTCGCCCTGGGAAAAAAGTTTTCTTTTTTTGTGTCTTCTCGCCCCCTTTCCCCAGAATCGCGCAGTAGCTGTGCCCTCTTTTTTTACCCCTCCTCCGCAGATTCGCAATGGCACAGTCACACGAGGCGGATCGAGTAGCTTCAGCCGACAACCACAAGCCCTCGGCCGTTCATGACGCAGACAACAACACCGCGACTCGGAATGTCGATGCCACGGAACGGGCCATGCCCCCCGAGGAGCCGAAGACGGCGGGTTTGCGGCCGCATCCCTCCAGGATTGTTCGCTTTTACTCTCATCCGTGGACGCAGATCCTGTTGATCTCCTTTATCTGCTTCTGCATGCCTGGGGTGCGTTTTCCCCTCTGCCGCGAGCCTGTGACACTCCTCGGGAATGGCGGACTGACAATGCTGAAACCTCGTAGATGTACAATGCGCTCACGGGACTCGGCGGCTCGGGACAGGTTGATTCGACCGTCGCCGCCAATGCCACCGTCGCTCTGCTCTCGGCCACCGCAGCAACAGCCCTGACCGTCGCCGGCCCCGTCTTCTCCATCCTCGGACCGCGCATCAGCTTTCTCATGGCCGGCTGGACGTATGCGCTGTACAGCGGCTCGCTCCTCCACTTCAACCACACGGGCAACGGCGCCTTTGTCATTGGGTCCGGCGCCGTCGCCGGCATCGGCTCGTCCTTTGTCTGGATCGTCCAGGGCGCCATCATGACCACGTACGTCGACGAGGCGCAAAAGGGCCGCGCCATTGCCGTCTTCTGGACCATCTTCAACCTCGGCGGCGGCATCGGCTCCCTGGCCTCGTTCGGCCTCAACTACGACTCCACGTCTGGCACCGTCTCGGACTCGACCTACGTTGCCCTCATGGCCATCATGCTGTTCGGCTGGACCCTCGGCGTCTTCATCTGCTCGCCCTCTCGCATCCGCCTGGCCCAGCTGAACAAGGCCGTCGAGACGGAGAAGCACACCCTGGGGGGAACCGCCATGACGGCCATCAAGACCATTGCCAAGTGGCGCGTCCTCTGCATGCTGCCGCTCTTCTTCTCCGCCAACGTCTTTTACAGCTACCAGCAGAACCAGGTCAACGGCGAGACCTTCAACATCCGCACCCGCTCCCTCAACGGCGCCCTGTACTGGATGGCCCAGATGCTCGGCGGCCTCTTGATCGGCCTGCTCCTCGATCTCCCCTGCTTCGACCGCCCTACGCGTGCCAGGCTCGGCTGGGCCACCGTCTTCGTGACCGGCATGGCCATCTGGGGGGGAGGCTATGAGTTCCAGAAGTGGCAGGACGCCCGCCTGGCCGCTGGCCACCGCCAGGACGCTGACTTTAAGGAGGGAGGCATCTCTACCGGTCCCATTTTCCTGTACATCTTCTACGGCGCCTACGACGCCCTGTGGCAAGGCTACGCCTACTGGCTCATTGGCACCGAATCCAACAGCTCGGCCCGCGCCGCCGTGCTCGTCGGGGCTTACAAGTCTCTGCAAGCTGCCGGCGGTGCCATGGCATGGCGTATCAATGCCCAGAAGGTGGCTCCGATGAGCCAGTTTGGGATGAACTGGGGCATGTGTATCGGTTCCTTGGTCATCGTGTTGCCGACTGTGTTGACAGTCTCCAAGACCACAACAACGGATGACGAGGCAAAGGTTACGTCAGGAGCGCAGCAACGACCTAGCAAATTGGTCACAGAGGAGTAGATGTGGCGGCGATTTGAATGGAATTCATGTCTTGTTTTATCCATATAATTGCATAGCGTAATATATACCACGAGTCGTCGTCTTTTTGGTCACTGGGAGTTTGCGACCTCTTGGCCAATCTGTACTTTTTGAGGTTGATCTTATTTTCCCTTTACTCTGCTGCTTCACCTGGCTCATCCTGTCGAGCCTGTAGGTCTCTCAACGTTGACCCGTCTTTCGTATACTCGATAGCCGGGGTAAACTCTCATGCCTCCCCTTCCTGTCCAATTTGTTGAATAGGTGCAGTACGGATGTCGCGGTTAAGACACGGTCGCATAACTTGGCAATATCATTAGCGAACGTGTTCATGCCGGCAGCTGTGTGGGAACAGTTGTAGATTGTGAGGTTATCAGTATTTATTGGGGGCCTGTGTTCCGCTGATTAGCAGCACGTCTTACTTATTCCCAAAGAATCAAGCTCATAGATTTCGTACTAATGTGTGGGTAAAGAAACGGCTCTGATGTTGTCATGTATCTGCCCACACCTATCAACAAACTCTTTACTAGGCATGCTGGGGGCGTCCATATTGCGGACATGCACTGATGTAGGCTAGCGAAGGAAAATGATGATGCTCGAGATCTCAACTAGAATAGAAGCTAGGGCGAGAGACCGAAGAGAGTCGTAGAAGCTCGTAGAAGCTCGTTCTTCCAGCTGCCGTTGTGGTGTGGTAGTGATGTGAAGGTGAGGTGAAGGTGAGAGAATAGCCTCCGTGTGTCTGTGGCATTTGCCGCCACCTGCAGGACGCTGTAGCGGTCTGGTGCCGTGTGCGCTTATTTCTCAGGGAGTCTTTGCCAAAGCCTACAAGACACAAATTTGGCAGCCAAAGCTTGTACAGCCGTATATAGCTCACCAATGCCGTATATAGAATCATTGCCCTGGTGAGGGCGGCGAATTTGGGGCCGGGATTTGGAGCTCGTAGACGCGTTGGTCAGATGAGAATCGAGGCTGTCGAGGCTGTCATTGCCCCTTGCTCAGTTGTATACTATTTGAGGAGAAGAGGCTATGGAGTTGGCAGCCCTTCGCTCCATGGAAAAGGCGAGGCGGGAGATTTACAGCCTTCCTCAACGAGGTTCTGAAATCCGTGACCAAGTCAACGGTCGCAGAGAGAGTGCAGCTATACTTGTACCGATGTTTGTATCGCGAGGGAATACATAAAACTGACTTCATGAGCCCTAGCATACTTTTCCTTGTCCAAATTCGGTAACGCTTCCATCAACACCTACGAAGGAGGAGTGGGTGTGGCGGAAAGAGTCGAGCTGCTCTTTGGGAAAGACACCGACTATACCAGTCATGAAGTTCGTGCAACCAGACACTCATGTTGTTTGCGCCAGTCCAGCCGGGCGCGTTGCACGCAATTTCTCGATTGAGAAATGGTGCCAGCAATGAATGCCACAGCTGCCAAAATGGACTTGACATCGTCGTGAAGAATACGCCACAAACCTCCACGGACAGAGCTAAGACTTGTCGCAGCGACAATCTCACTTGCCTATATAGGTAATATGGCGAATAATAACCGTTGGTGGCGTGTCGTGTCGTGTTTCAACGGTGAAAGTTGTTTTCATCTTCATCTTGTACCCCGGCCTTGTCGAGTGCGAAATAGCTTCGATGGTCGGCGAGTCGTGAACCACACCAAAGCAGGACGTCTCAAGGTCGTACATGGGCACAACCACGCCATTGCCTGGTCTGAGCCAAATGTCCCAAGGCCACGTCTTCAGCTTTTATGAGTGAATCGTCAACTCGACGCCACTTTGAAGAGGACGACGCCTTGGTGCGATACCGACAAGCAAACTGATGGCGGCGCACCCCCCAAAGGAACCATCAAAGGGCGACGCGGCTCATGGCTCGGCGAGGCAAATCAGACACGAGAGAAGTTGGTGCCTTGGTGTGACGACATGAGTGTAGGTCCTGTGATGGCAGGGCTGAGGCTATGACTGTAAGACAACAGCTGCAGGCTGCAACCCGGGACTAGCGGTGCGACCTTGAGGACGGCGTCTGGCACACATGGTCGAGTTCGGTAGCATCAAGGGCCATGCGGCTCAAGTAGGTTGCTTTCGCATACGTAGGCCAAGGAACTGCTGGGCTGTATTGACCGTCAGCAGGTGATGTACATATGCAACGGGTTGTTTGTGCCGTGGACGTCGAGAAGATTGCACAAGGTCTTCCGTGGTGCTGCAGCCCGCGGCCTGCGCTACCCACCTGGACCTACCCAGGGAGGTAGATGGCGAATATTTGAAAAACCTACCTTGTACGCACCACCGGCGGGCAACGATGAGAGCGACAGCAAAGTCCGGCTTCGCAAGCTGTGTGTGTGGGAAGTGAAGTGAGGCGCGGACACAGTACGGGACGAGACGAGACGCGAAGCACCGGGAGAAGGAGCGACGCTTTGGCCAAATGACTCTGAATGTCAACCAAGAGTCGATTCAATCTTTGCTCCCAACCACGCACCGGTTAATTTTGGATGCCTGGCGAGCAAGAAAGCGAGTGAGGCTCTGGCCGATTCTCGTCGTCACCCCGTCATGGCGTCATGTCGTGCCTGTACATTTCCGCGAGACGCTGGAATGCCAGACCCGGTGCGAGGCTGGATGTGATTCTCGTCTAGAGGCTTCCTGTTGCACCAGACAGAGCTTGTGGCCCTGCGGTGCCCTAGCAGCGACCCATTTGCCAGATCAAGTGGCCCGTCTCAATGTTCAATGTTGCCTCGAACCAGCATGGGGTGGTGTGCGCGTGCATTCTTTGTTCTGCTTGTGTCGCCTTCAACTGCCGCTGACACCAGTATCCCAATTATATTAATTGATCCATGCGGCTCACCCCCCCTTGCATATTTGAAGGGACCCTTGTCCGCCTCTGCGTGGGAATATCACACCAGACACGGACTTCTAAAAACATCAATAACTAGTTAACTACATTACTTGACAGCCTCGTCGAGCCAAAGGTCTTTGAATACATTGGCGCCGCACACAGACCAGCCAGACAAAGAGGATCCCCACTCATCATCCATCTCACACATCTCTCAATCTTACACATCTCACACGGCCTGCATGCGCCTCGCGCGTGCGAATCCACAGTTTCCCGGGCCATCTTGAATCGTTTCCTGCCCCCTCTTCCCCCCCCTCCTTCTCGGCTTGCCGCAAGCCTCCCGGGCGCTTCCCGCCAGCTCCCCGCCAGTCACCTGCGCCACCACTGACTGACTTCACGTCAACTGGTCCTTGCGCTGGAGCCAGTTCTGCAATTGCGGGTTTGCCAAGTTGCCAAGCGCTGAGTGCCGGCCCGCGTTCTACATACGGCACACACATAGATAGCCGGCGCAGCAAGTACCAACGTGGGTACGGCCTTGGTCTCAATTGGACTCTCCACAACAATTCAAGCTCCCGTCCATTGTCCAACGTCCAACGTCTTCTAACGGCGGGCTTCTAAAGTTGTGATTCCTTGCGCGCTGAGCAGGCTGAGCATATCGACGTCCGCAGGCCATCTGGACATTGCGCTCAAGTCAACGGTGCTGCATCGCACCTGCCGTTTCCCCAGTTGAACAGCCACCAGACACTGCGCACCCTGGCAACATTGGACGCTTCAGTACTTGCTCCAGTACCTAGGTACTTCCTGCCACTCACCAACCCAGGCGTTTACTCAAGCACCTGGATACTCGGGTCCTGAACAGGCAGTCAGCATCTATCCGGAGGCTCAACAGCTGCCGGCTGGAGGCCCTGAGGCCACTTAAGCAGTGAACCCCGGTCTTGCACTTCAGCTCTCTTCCCTCTGTTCCTACAGACCAGAACTGTTCTTTCTTTGCTCGCAAATAAGACCTGACTCGACTCTCCCAGCCAAGACGCACCAAACCAGTTACCACCCCCAGGTCAGTTTCCCCTCCTTTTGAGCGCCGTCCAGCAAACAGTGCTCTGTTCTCTGTTCTGCACGGTATCGTATGCGCACCGCGTACTGAGTACATTGTGCCTGCTAAAACATGCCCTGATTCTCAGGACCGAGTTACTGTATATGGCCCAATACTTTCTCTCCCCCAAAATACTCAGGAAGCGCAAGTTGAGCACGCGACAGCTGCCGAATCTGCCAGAATATGCAGTCAATCTACGCAGAAAGAGACCACATACCCTTGCCAGCAACCAGGCCCGGGAGATGAGTGTGATTTACATACGCTCCTATCCGTCGCGGCCCCATGAGCTCGAAGCCGAGTCTACGACCACCTCGTCCAATGGTAAAGGCAGCAACCCCGCTGTCAGGAAGCGCAAATGGCGAGTCTCGATTCGTGTCAACAACAACGCCCCGACCTTGGCAGATATCGAGGACCCGTTTCGCCAAGTTGACTACAAGGGAGTCTTTGAGCAGTACTTGCGAAGCTCCGACAGACCCCGTTGGGGCTCTCAGAACCTGATCCCCGACCAGGAGGGTTTGGATGCAATAGCCCTGGCAGAGAAGCGAATTGAAGAGTACGGCAGGCTACTGTTCGACCAGCTGGATAACCAGACAAGTTTCTTCAAAACCGGCGATTCTGAAGCTCAGATCTATGTGGTTGAGCATCACGACTACCACGCCGTTGGCAATGCTGCCGGCGGCATTCACTGCCTGGCGTGGGAGCTACTAGAGTCCGTAGAGATAGCACGTCTGCCCAAATTGCGCTTGCGCGTGACGCGGGTCAGCGACTTCCCGGCTCGTCGATTGCTTCAACCGCCACGGCCAGACGGCCAGCGGCTAGCAGGAATTCAAGCAGATCCCAACGCCACCTTCAAGATTTTGCTGGTTATTGCCCGCGACTTTTCCCGCACCGGCGCCGAACGAGACCCGGAGCCAGACTTGGCACAATGGCCACTTATGAATCTTCAAAAGAGGCTCCGAAGCCGCCTCACCCTGGAAATTGTGCGACCAGGTAGCCTCGAAGAACTAGACCGTCATTTGGGCATACGAGCCAAGCAAAAAGTCGAGTTTAACCTGGTTCACTTTGACCTCCACGGGCGACTTATGCGTAATGAGTGCGTGGCTATGTCCCCTGTGCACTTCACTCCCTCCTGTTGATCATACTGTTTCCTCACTTTCAACCCAATTAAGCTCGGGTCTACTTGCTAACCGGCATGGCTTAGGTCCGGCGTAGCGGTTCCCTGGTTGTTGTTCGCAAGGCAGCACAGACCCAGTGCTTCAGAGTTTTCCATCCCTCAGACGCAACTTGCCCAAGCTGAAGCCGTTGCCGAAGTTCTTTCTCGGCATCAGGTTGAAAATGTTGTGCTCAATGCATGTCTATCGGCATACAACCGGTCTGGTCCCGCAACCAACTTGGCACACATATTTCTCCGATATGGTATTTCGAACGTCTCGGCCATGTGGTATTATGTTCACTGGAAGACAGTTGAAGCCTTCGTAGAAGCCTTTTACGACAAGTTGCTCATTGAGTGCCTCGACTTTCACGTGGCGGCTCAGCGAGCGAGGGAGTCTCTGCGGCAGCAGCCCACCAGTCTCCCAGAACGGACATACCAGGACTTCTTCCTCTGCGTCAATTACGCGCGCGACGTGCACAGGACCGACAGCATGCTACGCGGAGTCAGTCCATCGCCTTCGGCCAAGTCGCACGAGTCGACAATAACCACGTCCAACATCTCGATGAAGAGTTCCCGAAGCGGGATTTGGATAAAACCATCATCAAGGTTCGCAGACAGTCTTGGCTCGGGGGATGAGCCAATATTGCGGCTTCAGTTGCACCTTTTGGAGCTCGAGTACAAGCTCATGACATTCAGAATCGTATACGCCAGTGATTTAGACCAGGCCGGCTCCGACCTGAATGGGACGCTGGACAAGATGATCAATATGTGGCTCAACACCAATCTCATTGACGAGGTGCATTACTACAAGGCCAAAGACTTTGGCAAGCGCAATCTCATTTCTGGGGCTGTCTCAGTGTCTCCGCGAAGCAAACACACACGATCGAGTCACGGTGGCCCACTACAACGCTTGTTTCCGCGTACTGTAGATTCGCTGCGACAGACGTTGCACATTGTGAGGGAGGTTGACAGCGTGGTGGATCCGGGGATGCAAGCTGACGAGCTAGAAAACCAACGACAAGAAGAGCGACGGTTGCTGGCTCAAGAGGGTTTGCAACAGTTTGCCATCAAACTGCATGAGGAGGGCTGCAGCTACATGATTTTCGTTGGGAGTCAGAATGCCCAATGGTGGCGAACATATCTCCAAGCTCTAGACGGCGAGTGGTGGCTAAACATGCCGTGGAGCTTCACCGTACACACCAGATTTACCAAGGAGACAAAGACAGCTGCAGGAATGGACGAACGCAGACCGTGTGAACCGGCAGGGCTGGCCCTTGGCCAAGTCGACGCCCAGGTTGCCTGATTAGTTCCCCATGGGGTCTTATTATGCTTTTGTGCTGAACATGCATGTCTTGCGTTCAGCATGAGTAGAGGACGAATGCTGTGGCACGATATAGACGATGACAAGGGGATCACACCTGTACTACTATACTAACTGACTGGCATTTCTACGGAGACTGGTTTACGTTGTTTACTTGCTTACATGATTTTGCGGGCGACAATGCATGGAACTCGGCGCGATGGCGACTTTGCTTGGCTTGATTTTGGGTGTGTTTGTTAGTTGCGTGGCATTTGCGTGGGAGCCCGGTTTGCGGCTTCTTGTATTGGTAGAGTTTGATACAGAGGGTAATGGTGAATAGATTGGTTGTTCTTTACATTGAGCGACGAGCAGTCTCGAGATATACAGCATGACCAAGAATTGCCGTGCTAGATGAAGAGCAGGTGGTGCAATGCGGTAGCTGCTACATGCCATGAAAGCATTCCGCATTCCGCATTCCGCCTACCATTTTGTCCACCGACCTACTCAAGTAGGTACCCCAGGTCGGTTCATCCTTTTGCTCGCCATTCCCGCGCTGTGGCAGAAACTCTATTTTCCGACCGACGGAACAGCGTCCGGTCCCAGGCCAGCTTATCGAGCGCAAGCAATTGCTAGGCTTGCTATCCGAATACGAACGAGGGGGGGTGTGGTCCGTCTCGACAGTTTGACAGCCCTGACAAGGCTCAGCACACGAACATCCTTCTCCCCCCTCCCTCTCCGTTCAATATATCATGCTGCTGTAGCTGCGATTGCCGGAGAACACGTTGCCATTTTTACCTCGGCATGTCGGCATGTCGGCATGTCGCCATGTCGCAGAATTCCTTCTACCAGGCCATTTGTATTACTCGCAGTGAGCAGCGTGCCAAGCCGGACAACGCACGACGTGGGGCGTTCCCGAAGCCATCTCCTGGGCTGCAAAGTAAGCTTGCTGACGTAGCGCCTTTGTCCTGGTATATTAGTTGGCTACTTCCGCCCTAGGCTTTTGTTCTCATTTTCTTCGTCCTTTTTAATGATAAATTGCTGCCTTTTTTTTTCCCCTCCTGAATTTTCCCTCATTGTGGAGTGGTTTGGTGGATGCGTCTTGGATTGTTGGCGCCGAGCGGGCTTCTTTCCTTGATTAGCGTCGAGACATTTTGTCTTAAAAAAAAAAAACACCATGGGCTCATCCTCGGACGTCATGGCCAATGGCCACGAGCACGAGCACATCCTGCGGCCCCGACCACGAAAGGGCCTCCGTACGCAAGTTACGCGGACCCTGTCCGGCGGGAGCGACGCTCATGCTGGGGTGGTGAGCGAGAGCGCGCCAGCAAGCGGGTTGACGAGGTGAGTCGTGCTTCCAGACATGGGCAGCAAACACCATGAATGACCAAGATCTTTTGACAGCAAGACCGCTGACTGACCTGACCTGACCAACGATAGCGGCCGCTCCACGCCCGTGCCGGAAAACGCGCCCCCGTCGGCAAAGTCGCTCTCGTCAGCGCGCAAGCTCGCCCGCGCCGAGCAGAGGCGGCGCATCTTCCCGACCATCGAGTACGCCTCGCGCGTGTCGCACTTTGACCCGGAGAGCGACTACCGCGACTTCCACGGCTTCTTCAACCTGTTCTGGATCGGGGTGGCCATCATGGGCATCACCACCATGCTGCGCAACATGCGGGACACGGGCTACCCCCTCCGCATCCAGATATGGAGCCTCTTCACCGTCAAGCTGTGGCACCTGGCCATCGCCGACTTCCTCATGGTGGCCACGTCGCTCGTCGGCCTGCCGCTGCACGCCATCTTCAGGAGAGCCCCCGCGGGCGCCGCCCTGACCTGGGCAAAGGGCGGCATGGCCATCCAGAGCATCTACCAGGTGCTGTGGCTGGCCCTCTGGATCGCCGTGCCCTTTGTGCTCGAGTGGACGTGGACCGCCCAGGTCTTCCTGCTGCTGCACACCATGGTCATGCTCATGAAGATGCACTCGTACGCCTTCTACAACGGCCACCTGTCCGAGACGGAGAAGCGTCTGCGGTCGCTGGATTCGCCTGGCGACAAGGCCGACACCAGCCCGGCCTACGTCTATCCCACCGCCAACCTCCGCCGCGGCAGCATCTCGGGCATCCCCTCGTCCCAGAACAACAGCCCATCATCATCGCCCCCCGAGCTCACCAGGCAGCAGCACCGTCTCCATCACACGACGCACCCCGCCGACATCGAATCCCTCCGCGAGGCCCTCGCCCGCGAACTCACCTCCCCCATGGGCAACACGACGTACCCGCGCAACCTCACCTGGGCCAACTACATCGACTACCTCTTCTGCCCGACCCTCTGCTACGAGCTCGAGTACCCGCGCACGCCGCGCATAAACTGGACCTCGCTCGTCGCCAAGACCATTGCCACCTTTGGCTGCATCTTCCTCCTCACCGTCACCTCGGAGGAGTTCATCCTGCCCGTGCTCGTTGACGCCCAGCGCCGCCTCAGCGCCCCCTCGCCCGTGTCCGCCCCGGAGGCCCTCCTCATCCTCGCCGAGTCCATCTCGTGGCTCCTGTTCCCCTTCATGCTCACCTTCCTGCTCGTCTTCCTCGTCATCTTCGAGTACGTCCTCGGCGCCTTTGCCGAAATCACCCGCTTCGCCGACCGTCACTTTTACGCCGACTGGTGGAACTCGACCGACTGGATGGAGTTTTCGCGCGAGTGGAACGTCCCCGTCTACTCCTTTCTGCGCCGCCACGTCTACAGCGCCTCGCGCCCGCACACGGGCAAGATGCTCGCCACCGTCATCACCTTCCTCATCTCCGCCGCCATGCACGAGGTCGTCATGGCCTGCATCACCAAGAAGATCCGCGGCTACGGCTTCATCTGCCAGATGCTGCAGCTGCCCATTGTCATGCTGCAGCGCACGAGGTGCATCAGGGGCAGGAAGACGCTGAATAACGTCTGCTTCTGGTGCTCCATGATTCTGGGCCTGAGCCTGGTACGTTTTGCTCCCCTCTCTCTTTCTGTGTGTGTCTGTGTCTGTCTCTGTCTCTGCCCCGTTGCGAATAATAATATGCTTGCTTTCCCACGGCTAACACGAATCAGATATGTGCTCTTTACGTGCTTGTATAATTTGTTTGTATTTATCCACAAATTACCCGTCGCGTGCACTGTGGTCTCAGTCACAAACGGTCATGCATGCCATTTACTTTTTTTTTTATTTGGCCATCACTCGACGAGATACCCCATCATTTTAGTTGCCGTAACCATGTCTAGTCAAGCGTCACGAGCCACGTCAAGTTGTTGTCGTAGTGTTGCAAAGAGCTACTAGTATCTGTACTCTCGTGTGAATTGAAAGTGGGGCTACCATCAGCCAAAATGCTGCACCTTCTTACTATCCTATTCATTCATTGCATCCTCAGTCGCAAACGGCGGTTATAATAACGCCCATCACCATAAGCCATCAGAGGATAGCATCAGTAAGTAGCACATCTCGAGCCTTCAAAGCCCTTGCATCGAGAAATTATAATTCCATGCCGTGCTTGCCTGTATCTCGCATTCTTCCATCCATCCGGAGAGCGGCATCGGATAGATACTATCCGAACACGTCCTGTACGTAGTAGGTAGTCACGAGATTACATCAGTCACATCTTCACGAGTCAACCAAAAGAAACGATTATTTATGCCATTTCATTCATCCGTCTACCTCATAATCATAGCTAGCTGGTAAAGTACACCCGGCTTCATCCCAAATGGGAAGATCGCCCGGGAATTATGGCCAAGCAAAGCATCAATTTGCGCACGCAAAGAAACAAAAAATTTCAAAAACCATGTGCACGTTCCAGAGTCTGTTTGCTCTAAAACACCGTCCAACTCCGTGAAAACTTTTCTAACTTCTGTGCCAGTATACATTGTGTGAAGAATTTGTTTAGTCAACCTCCTCCATGGCGCTGTCGCCAGTCTCGGCGGCAGGGGCAGCTTCAGCGGGAGCTTCAGCAGGGGCAGAGTCGTCCTCCTCAATGTTGAGGCCGAGCTGGACGAGCTTGTGAATGCGCTCAGCGAAGCCAGCAGGCTCCTCAATGGTGAAGCCAGACACGAGCAGGGAGGTCTCGAACAGAAGCTGGACAATGGACTTGACGGTACGATCGTTCTCGCCGTCAGCCTCAACCTTCTTCTTAAGCTCCTTGATGATGGGAGACTTGGGGGAGATCTCAAATGTCTTCTTGGAGGACATGTAGCTGGACATGGAGGTGTCACGGAGGGCCTGGGCCTTCATAATACGCTCCATGTTGGCAGACCAACCAAACTGGCCGGTTCGGATAGCGCAGGGGGAGAGGCCGAGCTTGTGGCTGACAACAACCTTCTCAACCTTCTCGCCGAGAACGTTCTTGAGGCTCTTGGCCAGGCTCTCGTACTCCTTCTCCTCCTCCTCGCGAGCCTTCTTCTCCTCGTCAGTCTCCTCGAGTTCGAAGTCCTTGGTGATATCAACGAGCTTCTTCTCCTCAAACTCCTTGAGCTGAGTCATGGCGTACTCATCAATGGGGTCGACGAGGAAGAGAACCTCGAAACCCTTCTCCTTGAGAGTGTCAAGGAAAGGAGACTTGGAGACGGCCTTGATGGACTCGCCAGTGATGTAGTACATGTTCTTCTGGTGCTCAGGCATGCGAGTGACGTAGTCGGACAGAGACGTCATCTCGTCACCAGACTTGGTTGAGTTGAAGCGCAGAAGCTTGGCAAGCTGCTGGCGGTTCTGAGAGTCCTCGTGGATACCGAGCTTCAAGTTCTTGGAGAAGGCACTGTAGAACTTGTCAAACTGTTCCTTGTCCTCGGCAATCTCCTGGAAGAGCTCAAGAGACTTCTTGACAATGTTCTTCTTGATGACCTTCATGATCTTGTTCTGCTGGAGGGTCTCACGAGACAGGTTGAGAGGAAGATCCTCAGAGTCGACGACACCCTTGACGAAGCTGAGCCACTCAGGGATGAGCTCAGTAGCGTCGTCAGTGATGAAGACACGACGGACATAGAGCTTGATGTTGTTCTTGGTCTTCTTGGTCTCAAAGAGATCAAAGGGAGCACGCTTGGGGACGAAGAGGATGGCACGGAACTCGAGCTGACCCTCGACGGAGAAGTGCTTGACGGCAAGGTGGTCCTCCCAGTCGTTGGAAAGAGACTTGTAAAATGAAGCATACTCCTCCTGAGTGATGTCCTGGGGATTGCGAGTCCAGATGGGCTTCTGCTTGTTGAGCTCTTCCTCCTCAATGGTGGTCTCCTTGACCTTCTTGGTCTTCTTTTTCTTTTCCTTCTCCTCGTCCTCGTCATCCACCTCCTCAATACGAGGCTTCTTGTCGTCACCCTCCTCCTCCTTGGCTTCCTCAGCCTCGGCATCCTCATCAGGGACCTCCTTCTCAATCTCCTTCTGGACGTGGAGGTAGATGGGGTAGGAGATGAACTCGGAGTGCTTCTTGATGACCTCCTTGATCTTGCTCTCATTCAGGTATTCAGCCTGCTCGTCCTTGAGGTGGAGGATAATGGAGGTACCGCGGCCGAGCTGCTTGCCCTCGGTGTCAGCGGTAATGCTGAAGGTACCACCGGCGCTCGACTCCCAGATGTACTGCTCGTCATCGTTGTTCTTGGAGACAACAGTGACCTTGTCGGCAACGAGGTAAGCGGAGTAGAAACCAACACCAAACTGACCAATCATGGAAACATCAGCACCAGCTGTCAAAGCCTCCATGAACTGCTTGGTACCGGAGCGGGCAATGGTACCCAGGTTGTTGACGAGGTCCTATTCAAGAATTGTTAGCCACCAAGCTCACCATCTTAGAATAGCAAAGGGGGAGGGAGGAGATTTTCAACTTACAGCCTTGGTCATACCAATACCGGTATCCCGGATGGTCAAGGTCTTGGCCTCTTTGTTGGGGATGATATCAATGCGCAAGTCCTTTCCAGAGTCGAGCTGGGAAGGGTCGGACAGGGCCTTGTAGCGGATCTTGTCCAATGCATCGGAGGCATTGGAAACAAGTTCTCGCAAGAAGATTTCTTTGTTGGAGTAGACAGTGTTGATGATGAGGGAGAGAAGCTGAGAGATCTCAGCCTGGAACTCGAAAGTCTCAGACATTGTGATGGGTATCTAAAGGAGGAATTGTCTGACAGACCAAGGTTAGTTTTAGTGGTCAACAAGACTTCGCAAAATGGTGAGTCAAAGGCGCCGTCAAGGTGCTTGGGAGGGAGGAGAGACAGCAAAGCGGTTGCAAGCTTTTGAGGAAAAGTTTCAATTTACTTCGATATGAAATAATTGATGGCAAACAAAAGCTTTAACCTGCTTCTCTGATCTAGGAAGGCCTGTCCGGGAAAAGCAGGCTAAAAGGAAGAAAAAAGGAAAAAACGAGCGAGGCAAGGTGGCGGGGAAGGCAGGACAATGAAGCTTACCTAGACGCTTGGTATAAAGGAAAGGGAATTCTTCAAAGCTCCAAGGGAGAACACAAAGTCTCAATGGGCTAATTAAGATTTGGTAATGTTTGGAGGAATGCGAAAGTATGGAGGGAGATGGGAAGAAAAAATTAAAGAGTTCGAGGGGAAGCAGAGAGTGAAGAAATAGAAAAGGGCTGCTCAAGGTGGTGCTGGTGCTTGCTCCGGCTCCAGAAAGTCGAGATTCCATGAGATTCTACGGCTGTGCCTTTCCACAGCAACGACATTGCCCCGCGCTGATTGGCTGCGGGTCATTGCTGCCGGGCGTGCAGGGTGCGGCTGCAGTTGCGGTTGCTGGAATGGCCTGGTGGGCTTCTACTGGAGTCTTCTAGCAGCAGCCGCCAGGTGTCCACAGGCCCACCAAGTGCAGCCAGCTCCAGCGCTGAGAATAGTCTCCTAGGCAGCCCTTCAGATCATTGCTAGGCGGCAGGCCAACGGGGAGCCCCACAATTTCTCTTGACCGCTGTCAAAGAATAGCCACTTACAGTTCTAGAGCTTTCGCGAAGAGAATGGGATGGCCTGAAGTTGCATCATGATGCCGATGAACTGAGGTCAAATTATGCCTTTTTTAAAAAAAAAATATTAAAAAAAATCTAATCTTGGAAGCCATGTAGCCCCCAAGGCTGAAGGGTCCCTGTGGCGAGGCTGCGAGCGCGTGCGGCTCCCCCTTCCGCTGCGCCAGCTCTTGACTGGTTCCTCATAGGCCCAGGCCACCCCCGTAAAAGTCGCCTCTACGGGTCCTGCACTTGGAACTTTTCGCAGCCTCGCGCCATGCCGGGCAAACCCTGCCAAGTGGCTGGCAGATTGGCAGGCAAGCAGGCAATTCCAAATGATAGTGCCTAGACTGGTGATTGTGGCCATGCCATTGAACTTGTACTTGTCAAACAATTTGATGCAAATTCAATTTCCACGACATTCCAAGGTTTCATGTCGTTCAATGTTGGTCGAAGGGACAAACGGCGGCGAGCGGTCTCGGCCTGTGCTCAAAGTGTCAGCCCACTCAAAGAGACACCAATGCTCAACTACCCTAATTGACCGACTAATCGTGCCGACTTGCATCAACAGAGCTTTCTCTATTAGCTCTTGCCTGCTGCTAGTCTACCCCACAGCCGATCGCATGGCACTGTTTGCTACAGCTGACGTACAGCAAAGGCTGAATGTATTGACTTTATTCGTTTCCCACTCGGATGATTCACAATCCATTTGCTCCCAATATAGTACATGGGCCCTCTCGTCCCAAAAGCTCCAGACAAAGGCGGCCCCTGATGCAAACAAACAGCAAACGGAACAAAGCGCAAATGGTCAGCGCGCATTCTCAATGACGCCTCCGACCTGTCTATATCTTCTATCCGCATATGCGAGCCCAAATTCTTTTGTCTTATTCCCGGGTATCATCTCAACAACCTCCCCCAAAACGATAACGTGGTCTCGTACACGGACCAGGCCTCCTGTAGCTCCATCTGGTAACAGCTTGCACCGGAGTACTCTCAAAACGCCCTCTCCTTTCAGCAGCGGCGCCGAACTCCTTCCATGCTGGCATTTGTCCACCGTATATGTTGCCCCTTCCATGGTGTCAAACACACCGTCCATATTACCCCGTGTAAAATGATCAGCGACTGCCGCGCCGCTTTCATCGCTTGCTAGAACGTGGATGTTAAACTCCT